AATTTAAGATGACAGTTTTCTCGTGGATGAAATCAAAGGAACCGTTCGATTACCATAAACAATGCTAGCCGCAAAAGGCGATTGCATAAGATTTTCCCCGATAATTCCCATGCCGAGCCGTATATAAAAATGGGTTGCATTTGCACCTCCAGGCAGACACAACAGAAGCGGACATAGAAGAGTGGACATCAAGGGGATACCAGACCCATACCGCCATACCGTCTGTTGCACCATACTACCAGCCGAAGGAGACTATAATTAGGAATCGCCGATCCAAGAGCATTTTACCAACCTCCCATATAACAAGAGTGGGAAAAGTTAAGCACTTACCCACAATTTGGCACTTTGTCTCTCGATCCTCATTACTCTCTCAATTATAATTTAAGATTCGATTGTATTAAGTATTTAGAGTTAGTTCTTAGGTAGTTAGGTAAAGTCTTATTAGATGGAATTATTGTAACCTTTTTTCATTTGTATTTGTTTGTATAAGTTAGTTAATTAAATATGTTCATATTGTTCAACCTGTGTAATTATTCGGGAACCTGTCAACTTACTCATGTACCTCCCCACTCACATTAGCCCTCCTAAATAGCCATCTCTGATATAAGCTGCCGGTAAGCAGGGAAAAGCTTGAAGTTCTACCCCCTTGGTTCTCACAGTATCATTTAGGAAATAAAAAATAATAATTGTAGGAACTTTATTCTAAGGATTTGTTTAAGTTCTAGATTTTATTTACTTAATCAAGAAGGTTTACTCACCTACCAGTGGGCAAGCAGTTCTGTTACCTGAACACTGGTAATTTGGCCCTGGGTTTATGTCGTCAGGATGGGCTGGTCAGATGGAGTTTTCCAGGTTTTCTCCACAACTTTAATACCTAAATAGAGACCAGTCACTCTTTAAAAGACCTCCTGGAAGTCATCTTTCTTAGGCAGATTACCTAAGTTGTTGCATTGCTATAACTAATAAAACAAACAAGAAGGTTCACATTTACTTTTCAGGGGCTAACTTTCAGGAGGAGTTTGTGGGAATCCCAACTATTTCCAAGAAATCCTTTTTTGGAGAAATTACAGAGGGATAACCCCCTTGCTGGTTTGTGTCATTATTCTGTTAATTATAGTAAATTGCAAATGTTAATTGTAACAATGGTCTATAAAGTAGATCAAAATATTAGAATTTAAGTTATATCACTATATTATCAATCAGTGGATTTAAATCTTAAAACATTTGCATCTTTAAAAATACTTGTGATAGGAAAAATTATAAATTTGAGAGAATTTCTTATAATCTAATATTGATCAAATTTGTTTTAAAAATATTTTAATTTTTTCTAAACCTTCACAATCATCCTTTACACCACAACTTTTCAATGGGTTCATAATTGAGTCCTTAGGGGTTGATGAAAGTTAGAAAAGGGATTAAATATTATTTAATTATTTGATATTTAGGAAAAATTCGAGTTTATTTTGAATAGCTATTAATATAACTTTTCTATTTCACTTCAAAAACGTTTTAAGAAATGAAATTCTACTCGTAAATCGTCTGCATTCTTACTTCGAAAAGCATCATATTTTGATTTATTATCCTTTATTTTGGTGATTCAATTAGGACTACATATTTTACTTTCTTTAAAATGTGACTGTTGTTATTTTTAATTTAGCTATTCTTTGCAATGGCAATTCTTTACAATCCTAATCTCAATTTTGCAATTAAAAGGCAAAATTGAGTAAAATTGTTACGAAAAATTTTAATAAAGTTGATCAGAAATATGTGTCTGTATACAAACCGGTTATAATCGAAATGAATAATGTAATTTTCTTGAAATTTAAGCGAAAAATATACTTATACCGCGAAGTACTTACTGTACAAGTAGCTATAGCCTATACGGTAGCTAATTACTTTAATTTTTGTCGTAGATTATTAATTTTAAGCATTTCTCAAATAATTAATTAATTGTAATTTAGAAAAGTTTATAAAATTCATTACTAAATTGATTCATATTTTAGCCTATAATGAATGAAGCCGTCTACTACATTCTTACATTGTATATTAGAGTAGGTTATATCGTACGCTCATTCAGCATATTTTCGCTATATTGATAAATATATTTATAGAGATAAACTATAATATTGAGAAGAAATTTTATTCATATTCAGNTCATATCTCTTAATAAATATTTTACTCATTATTAGCGCTAAAAATTTAAAAAAATAAAATAAAACTCGTCTGTACCCTCAAAGAAAGCTTTTTTGCCATTTTATAATAGTACAGTAAAACCCGTTAAGTTGTTCTCGCCTAAGATGCTACAATGTATGTGGGGACACGATTTAGTTAAACCACTTTGACGCTTAATAACTAACTTGTGTTAAATCATCTGACTCCGATTCTGACCACAGAAATTATTAGGCTTCAAACATGGTGAACAAAATCATGCCCCCCCCACACAGCCTAACATCCACACATATAGAAAAAAAACCTCGAATCTTTTGCGTATCTCGAAATTTCAAGGTGTCCTGAGCCCAAAAATATAAAAATTTGGGAGGGGTCATTTTTTGACCGAGCGCTACACTTTTCCTCTGTTATATATAATAGCCAGAAAAGTAAAAATTATCGAATACATATTTATATAGGCCTATTACTTAGAGAAGTCTTTTAGCTTTGGAATAAAACTATATTCCAAAGCTAAGAGACATTCTATCTTTATTAGAACTCTATTTATTGAATCTTTTATTCTGAGGTCATGTGATGACATCAGAATTTCTGGGTCTCTTTCAGTAACAAGTCCGCCCCTGGTTGGAGTCGGTAGATTTTTACGCGATTCCACAGACCTGGTGGCAAGAGAACAACAGGCAAAAGGTTGCACTTGTAGAATGAGTGATGAATGAATAAATTCTCTAATTTTCTCTCACCTTCTTTTATTCTCTCCTCTTTCAACTGCATCTGTATGTCCAGATTTGGTAAAAATCATGCTGGGAGCTGGACCATTGTCCAATCCAAGATTTTCTGCAAAACTTCATGAGTCATTGGTAAGATCTTGTTAACTTTCTTGTAGAATTTGCTTTCTTTGTTAATGTTTTGCTTTCTTTCCATAATAAATTATATAATTTAATGTATTTAACAGAAATAATAGCCTGGGTTTTCACAATAATAAAAGAAATCAATCTCTCTTACTTAGCATTCTGTCTATATTGTGTTGTAGTGGGTCTGCTTGCTTGATATTCAGGATGGTAATAAGAACTGCATTGCTGGCTATGTAATTGACTTAAAATTGATGTAACTGTCACATAAGTAACAACAGCTGTGGGTTTGAGTCTCGTTCTGGGCAGATTCTTTTCTTTCACAAATTTCTAAATTGTGTATTAAATATTAATTTTATTATAATTATTAAATTTAATAAGAGATGGCATCTAACGCCTATCTCTAGTGCCAAATTATTCAGTATTTAATAACTATTAGTAGTGGGAATGTAGCCTGGTTTAATCCAGTAATCATTTTGCTTTGATGTAATCATCGGGCTATAAATGTTTATATATGAACAACTACATTCATTGGCTAAACAAGATTCTTAAATTAAAAATGCTTGGATACTATGAACTCTTTTCCTCTGCTCTTTTTATAGTTGCCTCCTAGTTTTGGGTGATCAATATAACTAATCTAAATTATCTATAATAGCTAAGGTTGCCAACTAGGGTTTCTCATTTCTCAGGAAATTTGCCTCCACCGGGATTATGGGAAAAATAATTTCTTTTCCCGGGATCCCGGGAAATTCTGGGATGCGATAGTAAAATAGAGTTTTATATGAATAAAAAAGATCATACAGGAATATCATAAATTTGAATAATTTAATATATTTTCTAGTAAGTAACTAAAAGTGTAGGGCCAATCTCACCCATACAGACACGTTAGGCTCAATTAATTTATGTTCTCCTACATTATAAGATGAAAGTAAAATAAAGCGTTTCATTGGGAGTTTTAATGATTACGAAAAAAATATACTATTTTACTTATCTAAAGATGAAATAAAAAATAAACTAAAGTGATGAAATAAAAAATAAACTAAAGTGCGATGAGTGATATTTACTTTCAGCAAGTCTCCACTGTTCAATGATGCGCAAACACAATACATAGCTATTACATGAACTAACAAGTAGAGATTTGTAAAACATAGGTAATAATATGCAGCAAGAAACCTCAAAATTTCTCTCTTAGGTGAGTCTTCGAGATGCAACTTTTTGTATAATAAATAATAGAAAGAAAACCTGACATGGTAAATTATTATTGAAATGCGAGATTTCCTGGAAAAATAAAATTTCCCAGGATTTTTCTTGTAGGGAATAAACGACGAGAATCCCGGGAAAGAAACCCTATTGCCAACCATCTAGTTTTGAACCAAACTGCCTGGTTCTTGTCTTGTGTCCAGTTGAGAGGTCAAATCAGACAGCAGACAAATTCATCCAAAGTATATACCACAATCATTTTCTAGTAACTTAGTGTAATCAAAATTATCACAGTAAACTATTTCCAAGTTTTTTAACAAAACATTATCCTAAATCAATGTCATCTTTTTTAATGTAGAACATGCATTATTTACTTTTTTGGTGATTCTATACTGATGCAGTTCTGAGCAAATAGGCATGATAATTTTGATATTTTTGGTGATAGTGTTTTTCCATTAGTAACTGATAAATTGACTTATGCTACAATTACATTCACATATCAAACATTCTTTCAAGTACAGTGTAGTTAACAAAACAATATGAAATAATTGGCAATGTATTAACAACCTACTCATTTAAAAACAAAAAAGTTCTTTCAAAAGTAGGCAGATGGCACTGAAAATTAATCAGTCAAATGTGATAATTGGCTGAGAATGAGACTGAAGCTTACTCCTTAAAAATGTATTTATTTATAAAAAAAATTTAATAGTAATATAATGAACATTTTCCATTTGAATAAAAATTGTAGACAGAAAATAGANATAATTTAATAATTTTTTTTCCTAGGTCAGTAAAGGCTATTATTGTGTAATTGCACTAATATTATTATGTACAACGTTAGCCGACGATATAGATGATGATGTAACTGTTGAAGAAAAGGTAGGCAAATTTATATATTGTCTGTGGTATAGAGTTGTATTATATCTGATCAATGCAAATAAATTTGAAAATTTTTAAAAATTACTTTTTAATTACAACAAGAGTGGTATGAATTAATTTTAACTCTTCTGAAGAGAATAAGAATTGAAAAACAAAACTAAATTAATATTCTGAACAAATTACAATTCTTTATTTGAAAATATGTTTGATTTTTGTTAAAATTTGTAAATAACTAGACTTCTTATCACTGCTTGCTGAGTAACCAGATAGTAGAGACTTTTAAAAACGTTTTTGATTTTGTCATTTTCAGCCATAAATACATTAAATGGAACATAAGTTTAAAATAAAAGAACAAGCACTTTAGAATTTGAAATTATGATGTGAAATAAGTTGAGTTAAAAGTGTTAACATGAAAATACAATAGAATTTATGTCTTTAGATAAAATATAAACAAATAGCAATAGTAAGCCAATATAACTACCATCTTACACTAAATCAGCTTTTAACCTGTTTACTAATCTTGTGAAATCCATGCTGTCTGGAATGGGCTTTAACTAACACTAAGTCATTTGTCATTTCAATTGATTACAGTATGTTTGTATATTTAGTTAGGCAATAAATGTATGGGTAATTCCATGGAAAAGTGGACATTCTAGGGTGAAAATTTTTTTCACTAAATAATACTTTTTTNATATAAAGTTAAAAAAAGATAATAAAGAATAATTCTCATTATGGGTTCAGTCAGACCCTCAATGGGGCGGCTGGGGGTGAAGGATGGGGCCTGACATATTCAAATGGACCACTGCCTGAAAAATTCTTGGGGGGTTTTTTTGGGACCCCTTCCAGATTCAATCCTAGGTCCCCCAGAATGGTAGGTTACCATCTTGATTGCTTAGCCGTTTGACTTCATAAAAAGAGGGTTAGGAAATATGACTTTTATGGCTTCAATTTGAGAGCAGGTGTTAATTAGTTAGTCTGAAAATTAAAACAAAGTGCAAAAAATGATAATTAATAAACATAAATAGTAAATTTATTTATATGTATTTACTTACATTTTATGCCTCATTTTTTGTTAGTTTTTGTTTTACTTTAATATTGTTCATTTTCATATTTTTTTATTTTTATTTTAATTGGAATATTGTTTTTGGAGATATTTGTATAAAGAATAATTTATAAAATACTATTTACATTGTACATTTTAATTTTTATTTTAATAATTTTAATTGTGTAACAAAAATAGTTAATTTCCAATTAAATTTTTTCCAGTTTATTAATAATTTTGTAAAATTCATAAAAATTTATTAAGAGACAATTTAATAAATTTATACATTTGTAATAGATTACACTATTGTCGATAAAGAGGTGAGTGCAAATGTTCTTTTGTTTACTTTGTTAATTAAATTTTCTTGGAACCTTATCTAAATAAGCCAAATCTGCTAGCTCACCAAATATACTGCTTTTTGACTGAGTAGACTATAATATTGACAATGGAAGTGGGACATGAATTTTTACAAGCTCTAAATCCTTGCTGCCTCCTTCTAGGAAAAGGCAAAGGGGAGTCTCCTTTTCACTTGGAAATGCAAATTTTAGGTCTCGCTTTTATTATTGACAATAGATAATAACTATATAGATTTTTTAAAGTATATTAAAATGAAAAGTGAACAAACAGTTTAAATGATAACTGGATTTTCTTCTTTGTTGAGAGACATCTGTCATACAAATATTCATCAATATGTACTATTCTTTATCATATCAGTTCTATTATAGACTAATATTGATATGCTTATGTGTTGATGATTGTGACTGTACCAGAAATTCATTCTTCTTTGTCTATGTTGACTAGAATAGGTTACCTATTATATAGTTTTTCAATAGTCAAAACAAATTGCTCTTATGGTATTTTATTCAGAGGTGCCTATCTGCATGTACAGTCGACCCCCCTATAAGATATAGATACGTTCCATTCTTTAGGAATCCGATTTCTTACGAGTCGTTCCAATCACAGCCCAACACGTGTCAAGTTTACGGACTACGGCTGATTGAAAGGTTTTCTTCCATAAAATTAATCGATTCTAGACTAATCCGACTCAACATTTCCAAAATACGTATATTTTTTTTGAGTTTTATAGGAATCGTAATTATAGGGACCGTAATTATAGGGGGG